TAATCTACATGCCAAATACATATATTGTAATTTAAATTTTACTTGACTCACTTAGTATTAAAATAGCAAAAACAGCCATGTGGAAAATATAAAATGCAGACTGCCTGGCCATTAACAAGGGTAGCGTAAGCCCACGTACATATAGTTCAACACACTCAATCCATATATCTAAGCCTAGATTAAAAGAACTGGATGTGAACTATCAACGCCATTGTGATACGAAGACTTGTAAACAAACGAAGACTTGTAAACAAACGTACGTCACATTTGGATTTCATGTACTTTACTGCCATCTCGTGGACAAGGAAGCTACATGCTTAAAGTTACACAAATCTAAGTACTGAATACTGCTCCTGCATATTGCTTTGAGAGCTGCTTGCATTTACAGAAGTGCAGAAATATTCTGATGGAATATCTGCTCAAAATTTTGATTTCAGACAAGAGTTATACATTGGGAAAGTGTAAGTGTTTTCCTTACTGTCTGTGTCTCTTGGGAAGACTTTGTCTTACTTTGATGAACCTGACAGGCAGTGAAGAAAACCTGTAAAATGGGGACGGAGACTCCATCAAAAATCATCTGTCATCAGAGTAAGAAATGTTACAACCAACATGAGGTTATTGCGGTCTGTATCCTCCCATCCTGGAGACCCTTGAAAGTTTTAAGAGTGGGCAAAGGAATAGATTCATCAGGAATATCAGGTTATACTATGTCTTGGGGATCCGTTGGGGATATTTCCCCTCACTTACTGGTCTTGGTGACAATGGTTTTACCAGATAGGAAGTGAGGGAAAGTCTCCAACCTCAATACAGAAAACATTTATTCTTTTTTTAATATAGTAAAAGGATAGAATCCCCAAAAGCTTATTATTGTTGGTGTTCCTGTTGCAATTTCTTCTTCACTTCCTGTGGGTGGAACCATTGTCACTGAGCCAGTAAGTGAGTCACTGTGACAGCAAGCCTTTGTAACAGAGACTCGGCAAGCAATAAAAATGAAAGGGGGGCACTAATCCTTTCCCATGCTAACTAAAATAGAAAAGAAAGAAAAAAACAAACACTTTAGAGCCTCTTTCACATGCTCCAGTCAGGAGGCGATCTGTGCACAAATCCCTTCCTGATCAGAGCGCAATGGATCAGATTTCGCCGCTGTGACATCCGTGTCTGTCCAGTTTTTTCCTCCATCTTGCAATGGAGGATAAAAAAACCCTCAAAAATGACCAGACCCCACGCCGGTCTATAGGGAATCGGATGATTCAGACTTGTGTCCATTTACATCAGATAACCCCGAATCCAGCGCAATCAGGTCCAGTGAAACAGAACACTGTTTTGTTTAATTTTTCGGACGTGGCTGGAGCGGGGGGTAGCCCGATGTGAACAGATGCCCGTCTGTTTAGATCCGGCTGCCCATAAACTTACATTGGGCATCCGATTGGGTCTGCCTGAAAAACTTAGATGGACCTGATCGGTCCGCCCGTCTGAAATGGCCTTAAGAAACACACTATTTATTTAAGCCAAAACAGTGTTCAAGTCCACATTAAAGCCCAACTGAACCTTCAGTTTTAATCAGCTAAATTCTTTCAGATGCATCAAAGCAAAAGGTGTTCAATGTCCTACATTGTGCTCTCTATTTCAAGAGTCGAAAAGCCTGTCCCCTGCCAGCGTGCTGCAGAGTGGGTACCCTTGCTCTCTTTGGAGAAGCAGTGCTCTTATTGCAAAGACCAGACAAGTAAATGGAATGTATTTAGCCAATTTAAACTGAAAGTTAGGCCTTAAGTAACTGACTCTTTCATGAAGTCTAAATGCAAACAAAATCTGGAGTTATCAGATGATACTAGGTGACATTTGCAGTCAAAATCATAAGGCATACACTAGGAAGCAGCACCGGCCTTATTAGGAAAGTCTAGAAAATTTGGTCCCACATTGATATTACCAAAGAGAAAAGTTGGCACTGGGCAAGGTAGATTTTATTTCCTTGTAACTTCAAGATGCCATTTTGAAAGTCCCAATGACCCCTGCACATTTTCACGTAACTGCTGGGATGACCCCCTGCTGATTGTGTTCTAGTGATAAATCTGCTATCGAAAGCTAAAGCTTGGTGAGAAGATGCATCTCCATTATTACTGAACTGCTAATTAATCTTCAGCTGTCATGTTGATGGGGGATCCTGCTAAGCTGGCTGACTTTCCGCATTTGCTCCCAAGCCTCCCTTGTAGCGAGAGAGCAAAAAGAGAAAAAAAAATTAAAAAAAGGTAAGGAAGCGGAAAGTTTCTGAGTAGCTAATTAATGGGATGCCACTTGCAATTAAGCATAGCTCTTCTTAATTATTTCTGTAATTTTAAAATATCTTAACGCATTTTTGTCTAGTACAATATATGTTTCCAATTTAATCAAGGCCACATACACTACGTCTTCATCTTAAAGGAGTTCCCTGCACTGCAATACAAAGCCAGCAATAAAACTGCACATAGTGGTGGCCTGGCCTACCAGCAGAAACCTCTTTCCACATTCCATATTACAGGGCTAGCGTGAAATCCTGACCCCCGCTTTGTCAAAAAGAAAAAACAGAACAAAAACAGTAGTATTATCTAATTCTATGCTATGATCCTGTGATGGCAAAAGCATAGGGACAGCATGAAACATTCATATTCAATCTATAGTGTTGAATTTGAAATCAGTGGGTCTCACAAATATTCATCCTTAAAGGAGGACCTGAACTCTGGAAGCGGTGGCCAAAAAAGCAGGTAGAGGGAAAATGACTAGTCAGGATCATTGCATGTGGTCTCCCTTCAGCTGATCTTTTCCCCATTACTGACTTGCCATGCCTTGTTTAGCTCTGTGTCTCTGTGCTGGCGGCCATCTTGGTAGAGGCAGGACTTTGCTTTCAAATGTCAGAGCCTCCAGCAAGAACAGTGAGCAGCACAGTAATTACCAAAATTTCCGAAGTAGGGTGGTGGGAATGTGAAAGGCAACGGTAATCGCAATGGTGGTGCTGGCACACAGTATTAGACGTGATGACTCACGGGTTATTAGACCGCTGGAGCGGAGGGGGAGAGAGGATGGGGCGAGTATATATTTTCCTCAGACCAAAACAAGCAGTTGACCCTCGCAGTGCAGGGGTAGCCCGACTGCAAGAGTTATTTTGTAATTTGCCGGGAGTTTTTCTTTAGCTCCCATAAAGAATAAGCAAACGTTTATAGGCGTACACAATAGGGAGGTCAACCACCTTATAAAGTCCCCTCTGAAAGTTACATTTTAACAATTATTTCTGTACAGCTTACCCAACAAAAAGTGAACCACAGCACAACATAGACAAAGATGATGCTAAAAAGCTAAAAGTGCTTGATGCAGAAGCGAGGTAATTTTGTAAAACAGTAAGAACAAAATCTGCACGCAATAAAAAGACGAATAGGCACAAAGTCTTCCAAACCGGTACACACATGATGAGAAGTCACATGTATCACCATAGCACATTCAAAATACCAAAGAGATTCTTGCTGTAGTAATTCATTTAGTGTTTGCTGGGAGAGCAAACAAACAAAGCTGGAAACAAGAGGGACAGGTGTGCATGAGACACATGGGCGGGGGATAACACCACATGGGAAAGTTTTCATGTATGCAAACCACTGCTGTCACAGCTATCTAGGGCTCTGGATCCTTGTCTGTCGTATCCATACATTTTACTACTCAGTACTCAGTTACTATGCAATATGCTTACTACGTCAAGGCTGTGGTGTAACTGTAAACAATCATTTTATGTACAGTGTTTTCTGGGACCTGCAAAAACTGTACTATTTACTAGGGATGCACCGATACCGGTATTTTGGTACCGAGTACTACTACCTATAATTTGTTTTCGGTACTCGCCGATAACAATTACCGAGTAACGGAAGTCCCATTCAGGAAGCCAGGTGGCGTGTAATGACTCGCCACATGGCTTCCTGATTAGCCGGGCAGCGTGTAATGACTCGCCACCTGGCTTCCTGATTAGCCGGGCAGCGTGTAATGACTCGCCACCTGGCTTCCTGATTAGCCGGGCATCGTGTAATGACTCGCCACCTGGCTTCCCGATTAACAAGTCTGTCCCCTCTTACCTTAGTATGTCCAGACTGTCACCCCCGGGGCCTATCCAGCCTTCCTCCGGTACCCAGCCAGAGCTGTCTGGCCGGCCAATCAGGAAGACGGTTGCCTTGTATTGACGCGACGCCCTGCTTTCCGATTGGCCGGCTCCATGCTCCCTCGTCATGAGATGACGAGGGAGCATGAAGCAAGCTTCCCAGGCCAAAATACTCGTTATCGCCACTGATATCGATACTAGTATCGGTATGGGTGCATCCCCACCATTTACCAAAACAGTGTACACACTTATTTCAAACAAATTATTTGACATTAGGCTCATACTGAGCGTATTGTCGCAGCTGATTCAGCGCGACAAAAAGCTTCACCAAAAAAGTCCAATTCATTCTTATGGCCCCTGTGCACACTCGTTTTGGCCCCATAGACTAAATAGGAAACACTTGAAAACATGCGGTGCAATTAGTTTTACGGGTTTTGTCCATTTACTTCAATGTGGCGTGAAAACACTGTCCCCTAGGTGTGAATCACGTCTAAGAAATGAGCCGGAGAGAGATGTTCTTCCTCCTTAGGACACTAAGCTAAACTGAGCTGAGCTTATGATTTGTCCACAAAATCTCCTGTAGGTTGCAGGATACACACATGAAAGATTAAGGTCTCCTGCCCTCCACTGATGGATGGGAGAAAGTAACTTTAGTGGCCACAAAAAACAGCCCCCCCCCCCCCGCTTTACTCAAGCTCTATGCAAATCATATAATGGCAAAGCTGTTGTATATTATTTGTGCTGAGTCACAAAAGATTGCAAAAATGGTGTATTTAGTAATCTGCTCCACTGACTGCTAAACAATGTATTAGTACATTTCACTCATATGCCTGTATTAGTTGACCGTGCTGCAGCGAAGAACAAAGAGTGGTAGATCAATGTGTGTTACCTCTTCGACATTTGAGGCGGTCTTTGCTGAGGTCTCCATAAAAACAAGGCCGTGCTCCCTGGCAAATGCTTCTCCCTCTTCTTTCTTTACTTCTCTCCTTGATTCCAAATCACTGCAGGCAAAGCAAACATGTCAGACAGACCTCACTACATGTGATCAAACAGACAAATATTTTCCCTGGAAAGAAAAAGTTCAAAAGGAAAGCATAAAATCCATGGCATATGTCACACTTTTAATCATGGCATTGTGCATCTGCCACTAAGTGGCCGTACATTCTGGGATGTGGTTGGTTAGAAATAAGCAATCGTTAGTACCTGGAATTCTGGAATACAATAACAAATTGGTGACAATCCAGCGGTGTAACAAGTACCTAAATTGTCTTAGTGATGTTTAACCACTTGCTGTCCGGGGCATTTTCTTACTATTTGCGCACACATGATAAAATATAAATGTTTGTCTAGAAAACAGCTTCAGACCTCCAAACAATGATATATGTTCTGAAAGCAGAGGCCCTGTAGAATAAAAAAATGCTAGTTGCAATTTTTTTTACGACGCTCAATTTTTGCGCAAATGTTTACCAAACCAGTTTTTTTTAGGAAAAAATAAACTAAATTTAAATTTAGTGCACAGAAACATAATATAATACCCAATTTTTTGGTAAAATACAAAAGATGGGGTCACGCCGGGTAAATAGATACCAAACATGTCAAGCCTTAAAATTGCGTTCGCCCGTGAAGCCACCAAAAGAAGTCAGTACCCAAAATTTCCCATAGGGAACATTTTAAACGCTTATCAGTTTAGTTCTAACAGTGATTGATGGCCCTAGAATTCTTGCTCTCACTCCAACGTTCGCGGCAATATGTAACATGTGTAGCGCAATTGACGTTTTCGCATGTAGACGCACTGAAGCGTTTGCGTGCACGTGGGGGGCAGGGAACTTAAAAAAAGTCTATAGACTTATTGCGGCCCGGAAGTGGTTAAAGCTGACTTAAGGCATTTCACAAAAAAGATGGCACAACAAGTCAAAAAAAAATAAAAAAAATCAAACTGGTAAAATAACCATTCCGGGCTGTGATTGGACAATGAAGGGGCAGCTTTACACTGATGAGGTTATCTCTGTTCCCTCCTGCCATCAGCAAGGCTAACAGGCAGCTGATATCGAGAACAATTCAGATACTTATGCTAGACTTTATCTAAATATACATTTCAGTAATATTTTATTGAATAAATGGAAAACCTATCATTATATTTTCCCCCTAATAAACTAAACTAGTGCTGCCTTCCTCCTTCACTCCTCTCCCGTTTACATAAACTGGTAACATTAGCATGGGCAACCTAACAAGTTCTTTCTTGCATAAATGACCAACCCTTTAAAATCTATGGGCAGTTTATCTTAAAGCACATTCACAAACGGTGGCCACATTAGAAGGCCGCCAACTGAAGAAAGCAGAAAGTGCTGGGCTATCTAATCCTCTTCTTTATAAGCAAAAATGACAGCCAAAATAGACAATATCTTTTAGCCGGTCCAATTTCTCGCAATGCAGACACTTGAAACAACATATGGTGATTTGATTGCTATGAATGAAGCACAATCCCACACAATACCACCTTTATGCGTATGGCTTCCTGTACAAGTTATAAACCTAAACTTCTTAGCGGATGAAAAAAGCCTAGCCAGAGTGACTAGTCATGACTCATGATGGTATAAAATACTCAAGGATGGAAACGGTTATTATATGAGTCATGCCTAACCCTCATGTCTGGCATTGTATTGTAACTCTGTCTCCCGTAAAGTGCTGGGAAAACTGATGGTTCTCTATAAATCCTGTATAAAAATAATGTTGATACTCGTATTACTGTTATTTGTCAACACGTCTCAATTTACATCCACAATATGTACTATTGTACAGCACCCCCCAGCACAAAATGATGTTCTATTATACCCCTCAGTTGAATTTGAGATGCGTGACCTTGGCCTGGGCATATATAGGATTACCTACTATCCAGTAAACTGAGCAAAATAAAATGGTAGATCACAAGCTCAGCTTTCCTAAACCTTCTTCTGGTGGCTAGAACATGCAAATATAAACCTAAGTCACTGCCAAAAGCTAGCCACAGACTTAAATTGTTCCTCCATGTCTAACCCACATCTAAAACTACATAGGCTGCCCATAAACGTGGCAGTTTTCAATGTAAGTTCAACCCCTTTCAAGGCCACCTAGAATTACAGATCCAATTATTTGCCAGAAAGCAAGCACTCTACAACCCACGAGTTCGACTGACCAAGAGTATTTTGTTGATTGGAAAGTTCAAACTAGCCAAGAAATTATCAGTTTCAATAAAGTTTAGTGAAAGTTTAAAACAGAAAAAAAAGTTTATTCAGGGCTTGTTCACACCAAATGCAGACCAAATCTGCATGAGATTCTGCACATGCAGTGCGTTTTGCCACGTTTCAGGCCATTTAAAAAATATATTATTTTTTTTAGCCTAAAATTGGCTTTCAGTGCGTTCGCATGAGTTCTGGTCCATTCCAGAGCAGACAAAATAAGGCATGTTGCAGTTTTTCCACATGCTCTGGAACTGAACACTGTGGTGTGAACTAGAGCCCAAAATACCATTGGAATACATTGGATCTGTTCTGTAACTGCTCTGTGCAAGCCCTCAACTGATTTTTCTTCTTTGATCTGAACAGTTTCTATCCCATCTCATTGTGGTCAATTGAAACCAACATTTTATGCCTTTAATTGATTTTGAAAAAAACAAAACAAAAAAAAAAAAGTGGCATTGAATGGTTGATTGCTCTAACACATTGCCAAACTTATGGTCTATAAGAGAGCACACAGGTTTACGTGAAGAGAGGTGAGGAAGGAGCTTGTGCTAGATCATGGATAGGCAACCTTGGTACTCCAGCTGTGGAGAAACTGTAAATGCCATCATGCGTCTAGCTCTGGGAGTAACTACAGATGTTCAGTGCTGCACTTACCATTCAAACCTTTTACAGCGTGATGAAAGCACAATAACCAAATTAATAAATGCACCTCTGCTCTATACTATACCTGAAGACTCATGGACTATACCTGACATACACACACACATTTTTTTTTTAACTGGACAGAGTTATCTGAAAAGCACCAACATTCTGTGGTTCCCACATTAAACTCTGGGAGGTAAGGGGTGTTTAAAGATTAGGGTACGTTGTAGGGATGCACCGATACTATTACTAGTATCAGTACCGATGCCGAGTATTTGGGCAAGGACTCGTACTCACCCAAATGCTCCCGATACGGGAACTGCAAGTTATTAGGAAGCCGGACGGCGAGTCATTACACGCCGCCCGGCTACCTTAATGGGATTTACGGTATCGTTATTGGCGAGTTCAAAAAAAATAAAAAATAATCAGTACTTGTACTTCACACCGAAAAATGGTTGTCACATTGTGTGACAAAATCTGCTGCACGGTCAATGCACTTCTGCATACCAGTGTATGTAATCAACCACATAGGGCGAAGAGATTGAGAATATTAATCTTGTGCAGAAATATTGCAGCTCTGCTGCTTTTATACTACTACAACCATGGAATATTACCTGCCTAGTGTCATGCAATCTTTCACACTAATACCTTTAATGAGATCAGCTAAAGCACAATTAGCAGTGACATCAGAGCTGCAGGGGCAATGAGCAGCGATGGTGGGGGCTGAGAGTCTACTAGAGACTGTTTTTTTCCGGCCTGCCAGATAAAGGTCTTGGCTAATTAGTAATAACAGCTATGAAAGGACAGATCTTCCTTCTAATAAATACATATCATTACTCATTCCTAGAATGCAAAGCAAAATGGATAAAAGATGCAACTGATACATGGTACACTTCTGAGCTTGATTCTCATCCCCTGAACAACACATTTTAGAAATGGAAATAAAATGGCAGTAAATTATAATCTTTTTGTACTTATTTTCTTAGCGCTGTACAGAGTATGAAGCTGACCATAAACAACCCAATTCTAGAAGTGCATGATTACTCTCCGATTGTTCACAATGTTGGAAAATCACCCTCCATTCAATTTGCTGGATCCTTCAATCTTTTCAATCAGTGTGCAGGATGAGTTGCATGAATAAAGTGTAACTTCGGGCAAATGGCTAAATATACCATCAATTTACATACTGTATGTTTGTACTGTTATTTCGGCCAGCTGTACCAGTGATACACATTCTAACTCTAGAGACAGTAAGCTCATTCTGCAACTTCCTGGTTCAGCATTTCTTCTTCCTGGGTCGTCTTGACCCTTATGTTAGCTCCCAGGACAGATTTGATAATGTCTATTCGCTACCCTATGAGGAGATTGAAGGCAGAGAAGTATCATAAAATGCTGCATTCTTCAGCCAAGAAAAAAAATTGCTTAACCACTTCAAGACCAGGTGTTTACACCCCCTTCCTGGCCAGGCCATTTTTCAGTGTTCAGCGCTGCAGTCCTTTGACTGACGTTTATTCCGTCATGCAACGCTGTACTGAAATGAATTTTATACCATTTTTTGGGGACAGATAGGGCTTTATTTTGGGGGTATTTAATAACCACAGGGGTTTTTATTTTTTATTATAATTAGGAAAAATTACAGAAAAATTTGAAAAAAAAAAGTTTTTACATTATGTTAGGAAACATTAACCAGTTTTTTTGGTAAAATATAAAAGATCGGGTCACGTCGGGTAAATAGACACCAAACATGTCAAGCTTTAAAATTGCGCGCACCCGTAAAATTGCAGAAAACTACCATACCCAACATTTTTTTTCCACTAAACTTTATTGCTATCACATACGGGGGCTAATAAAACCCCCTTATGTGATAGCAAAATATGTGACAGGTCCTCTTTATGGAGACATCAGGGGTCTCCAAGACCCCTAATGTCACCTAGGACCCCCCAAAAGAAGCTGATGAAGCACAGATCTGCTCCATCAGCTTCTTTATTGTCTGACGGGGCAGTGTGGAATCGCATATCCTTTGGCAGGTGAACAGTTAACATATGTATTTCAACTGTACTTGCCTGAAGTTTTCCTTCAGCTCCCACCACTACAAATAACCAGTGGTGCCTGTCCATTGTCCTTCGGTAGACATCAGTCTTAGGCAGCCATTTACAGGCAATTATTGGAATACTTTATTTAGATTATGTTTAAAACCGACAAATAAAAAAGGTAATTACTCCTGTTGTAGGTATGTTAGGGAGGTGGGAATCTGTACATTCCGCTCCAGAACCGCCAATAAAGTTTCAGTGATATTTAGACCTGGAGATTGGGAGGCCACAGAAGGCATTTGGCTTGATGTTGGTATTCATGAAATTTTGAAGTTTGAACTGGGACATAATCATACTGGGATAAGAGAATCATGCTCATCATAGGCTCAACCTGGCCACAGTAAACAATATTTGCATCTATGCTCACTACTAACAAAGAACTCCGAGCCCATGCCAGCTTCAGCAGATGAGATTGAAAGTATTAAAAAAAAAAAAAACACAAAAAAAAAAAACTCAGTACATCTCTGCATTATATTTCCCCCATATTTTGTCTCTTTAAAAAAAACTACAAGTACAACCCTGCCTAAATATCTTCTCCTGGACTGCAGAACACCTCCCCCTCTTCATAACATATATGGGTGGTATGGGGGAGACACAGAGCTAATAACACTGGTTGGGAATGCAGTGCAGGAGAGGCACTGTAATGTCAGCTCATCTCAGAAAAGATAGCTCACCTGGTTTCTGGCAGATTTCCAGCTATTTTTCTACACTTGCAGTGTTTACAAAAGAGACAAAATATGGGGAAACGTGCACGGCTGTAGAGATGTTTTGCTCTGACTCTTTCAAATTGGACTTCAATGTAAAAAAAAAAAAAAACTGCCAGGGTACCCTCTCTCATCTTAAATAGGGTTATTAGGTAAAAATTACTGGCTTTTGCTTGCTGTGCCTAGACGTGTGTTACCTCACAATCCTTCCAGCAAAATTCTGGTAAATGCCAAGTATCCCAAATCAGACAAGATGATGCTCAAAAGCAGGAATGTCGTCTTGTGAACTTTAGAGTTCTCTGTATTTTGAGACCTCGCTGGACAGATTGTGAAATCACAAACTGCAGAAAAGAAGCGGAGGCTACGGCAAAGTTGTACACTTGTTTGTTTTTTGTCTTGTTCAGCCAGCTCTTGGGCTTTTCAGAAAAAAAAAGTGATCTTGGTGGCTCTAGAACTTTTACGTGACATTAATTCCTCGATCTCCTCCGTCCTCTACAGAGGGTGAACCCATAAGCGCTCAGCTCTGAGCATTTCTGGGTTCCGAGCCGTCAAAATTCCTAGCTGAAAAGCCAGATAAACAGAAGAAAAATGCGTTAAAATAAAAAAAAAATTGAATAGCACCCCCTATCACCCTGCGCACACATAGCTTTGTGACTGGGCTGACATATTTGGTAACTCTTTATATAACACAACTGCATCTTGTAAATGGGAATTCTCATTTGTTAAAGTGACATTAAAGTCACACACTTTTACCCTCCCCCCAATGTTAATGAAAGCACTTACGTTAAATTATGTCTCTTAATCCGATCATCTTCTTCTTTTCAGCCTTCTCTCCAGCGCTGCTGCAGGTCGCCGATCCAGAGCTGACTCCTTTGTCCTTGCTGGCACTTCCTGTCCCACGGTGTCTGCATGCGGGTGCACGCGTCCATAGACTTACCTTGTGTCTCTCCTCGTCTCCCGGCCGAAAATCTGAACTGCGCATGCGCCCGCCCAAGCATTTTTTGATTTTCGGATGGGAGTGCGCGGCGAAGACACAGGTAAGGTTTAAACCGCTTTTAAAGCGAGTTTAAAAAAAAAAAAGTGTTTGCCTATATCTACTGCTTGCTAGCAGTAGATATACGCAAAAAAACGTGAGGGTTTAATAACTCTTTGAACTTATTTTAGTGTATTTTTTGATTGAAAATATAGGATTTAATAAACAGCTGCAAAAATATTGTGCAACATAAATTGCAACTACCATCTTTTTTTGTTCCCCACAGGGCCTCTGCGCTCAGAATGAGTCATGTTTTGGAGTTTTAAGTAATTTTCTAGCCAAAACGCAGATTTTAAAATGTGTGTGTAAAATAAAAAAATTGCTCTGGTAGCGATGTGGTTAAGCGGATCTTCCTTTTTCTACAACGTCAGCATCTAATAGCTGTCACATTACAAACTGTAAATACATTTTTATCTAAACCACAGCGGTTCAGTAAACAACAACTAACCAGATAAAAAGAATTTGTAAGGGGCACCAATATAATACAGTTATATGCTCAAATGCTAAAAATATATGTATTGACTGATTAATAACAGTAGTAGTAGCAACACTAAAAAGAAAAAAAGTTTACCTTTTATTGGCAATTAACATGATCACCATATTTGAATTTGAATGTTGACGCGCATCTTCCAGCCAGGTCGTTAGATGGTTAAATGTGTCTCTCCTGAATTAAAAAAAACAGAAAAAGGTAGCTATTAATATTATGGCCATAATTTGTAGGAAAATAACTTTCTATAGTTATAAATGGAAGACATACAGGTAACGTAGAGTGCTAATTCATAATGGTCTTTAAATCATTTAAAAAAAGTTAAAAAGTATAACAGTTTAAGTAAAGTCAGAACTTTTGATGTGTGGTAGTTTCTAGCCCTAAAGCAGTCAGATCAACACATCTGTTAAAAGGCACATTCCACCTAAGAAAAAAAAACAAATGCAAAAAAAGTAAATTTATTATGTTTTTTTTTTGCATAGGAATCAGAGGATTGCAGATGCAATGCTACGACTCCTGCAAGCTCTTGTATCTTCTGAAGGTGGTTTATGTTTGAGGATCTACAATTAAGTTTCCCAGCAAGTGAAGAAAAAAAAAAGAAAAAAAACACCTACCTACACACATCGCCTATTACAAAATATTGAGGCTAGAATCACTCCACCTGTGTTGCGTGGAGCACACACACACACTAAAAATTGATGTGTGCTAACATGCTTTTTAACACGATGCCTTGATGCTCATTCTTTTCCAACGCAGAAGCCAAATGCAGCATGTACCATTTTCTCCCAGCACATGGATATCAATACAGCGCAATGGGGGTAAATGGGATTATTGGAAACAATGCTGGGGACTTTAGCAAAACTGGAGCAGACAGAATCTGGAGCAATTGACCATAGTAACCAGCTTCTTTCTTCAATTTGTTCAGTTAAGCTGAAAGATAGAAACTAAAATTGGTTGCTACTTGCAACTGCTAAGGATTTTGTCTGCTCCAGTTTTGAATAATTCCCCTCATTGTATTTTAGCTCATCAATGCATTGGACATGCATTGAGCAGCAAAACCCAAGAGATGTGGTGTGATTGGGCACTAAAAATTCTAAGTCCAAAGCTTCCCTCGAAATAGCAAAGGCCAACAGCTACACAGTAGTTAGGAATGTGCAAGAAGTCTGCAACCTGACAGCCGAGGCTGCCACTGAGCAATGGAAGATGTTACCATGTAGCGATTAGAATTGGTGTCAATTCTATAGAACTACCGGTAACAACCATGCTGGTGAGTTTTCAAATTAGAAATTCAGAGTGAGCAATATAAAGGATACTGTGACCAGGCAGATACCATATTATTTCTAAGGCACATAAAGTGAAAAAAACAGAAAGAACTCACCTTGTGATATCATAAACTAATAATGCACCAGCTGCTCCTCTGTAATATGAACGTGTGATGGAACGAAAGGATTCCTGACCTGCCTAGAAAAACAAAAAAACAAAACAAAATACATGTCAGTAATAAAGATTTTTAATAAGATAAAAAGAGGACTGGCAATACCTGCAAACTGTAATGTCAAATTGCACTTTTTCATTATGAAACATTCAGAGACCAGGTCTCAGCACACGGTAGTGGTCACCAGGGGTAGCTTGGTCACCAAGGCCATGGAAACAGGACTCATCTTTAGTGACGGGAACTCCTTATACTGGCTTTTATCAGAGGAAGCAGGGGACAGCCACACATGTATAATTAAAACCAAAAGAGCAGTTCTACTTGAAATACTATAAAGAAACATACCCTTAGCTGTGGTAGTCCATTCCTAATAATAATGCCCACGTTTTAAAACAAGAAGATGGAGAAATTACTAAATATAATCAAATTACACCTATTCTCCTTTTCAGGGAGAGCAGCCAAATTACTCGATCCTCAAAAATGCTGTTGGTGTCTACAATCTCTGCAACATAACACAATTAACTTACACCAGAGACATTTTCCAATGGTACAAGCTGAGGAGGCGGAATGCTGGGTGCAGGAGCCATATATTTCTGCATTTGGAAGCTCTTTTTGAAACAAGTTTTTTTTTATTTTACAAGCTTTAAATCTTTTTCTAAATATATAGTGCAGGGCTCAAAATTTCAGGTCCTGAGCTACTAGCCAGGCCTTCAAAGTTACTCGCCACCAGTTGCCCTGCATAACACAAACAAACACACACAGGGCACAAGGCGCACACAGCACAACACACATACAGCCACAGCACAATGCACAGGGCATTACACATACACATTTCATCTGAAATTAATTTTTAGTCTTCGCACATGTCTAATAACATGCGTGTGGGGGGAGGAGCAGTTTTCACTTTTTTAAAATAATTTTTTATTATAATTTTTATTTTATGATTTATTTATTTTTTTACTGTTGGGGGGCTTCGGGGAAATATTAGGGGTCCAAACAGACCCCTGACATTTCCCTTTTAAAATAGAAAAGAAATTGAGGACACCAAATCCTCAATTTCTTTTTCAGCTTCCTCAGCACTCAGTGAATGGGAAGCACTCAGTACAGAGGCTTCCCATTCATTCAGACACTGATACTGTCATATAATACTATCATATAATACTGTAATACTATGTGTCCCCAGTTATTTACAAACACTGGAGTGATCAGACGATCGCTCCAGTGTTTGTCCTTCTCACATGGAGGATCGGTAAATATCACTGATATTTACCCATCCCCCGCTCTGCCACGCACAGAGCCGCTGTCATCCTGAAACTGACAGGATGACAGCGGCTCCGATCTCCTACCCGCTCGGCCATCCTGACAGCTGCAGGCACGGCTTCTCTCCCCCTCACCGCTCCGCCATCCTGACAGCAGGCAGCGCTCCCTCCTGCGCCCCCCTGCTTAGACGGACGGACGGACGAGGGAGCGTTGTCATCAGGTTGGTGAACAGGAGAAAAGCCGCCCCGAGGAGGCTTCATTTCCCCTCGCCCCCACGCAATTTTCACTCGCAAATTGCGAGGGGGCGAGTGGAAATTTAGAGCCCTGATATAGTGTATATATAGAATGTTTGCATATATTATATTTCCTTATGTTTAGGAGTAAAAACATTTTTTTAACCACCTCAGGGCCGGCCGTTGTAAAAAAAAACGGCCGGCCAAGAGGTCTCTAGATCTGAGCGGGTGCCGACACGCCGCCTGGCGCGCGCTGCCCGGCAAGCGCGCGCTGCCCGGTATTTAAAAACAGGCAGCGATGCCTGTTACCATACAAGAGATCTGCTGGCTGTAGAGCCGGCGGATCGCATGTATGGTGTGCCGAAGCTGGAAAGAAGCTGATGGAGCAGATCTGTGCTTCATCAGCTTCTTTTGGGGGGTCCTAGGTGACATTAACAAATTTTTTTTTAAAGTCCCCACCCATACATGCAAACATGCGTCAGGGGCGCATACGTGCAAAAAAGACGATTGCGCCCATTACGCCGCACATGTTACATATCGCCGCGAACGTCGGAGTGAGAGCAATAAGTCTACGGCCATCAATCACTGATAACACTAAACTGATGAGCGGTAAAAGCTTTTAAAGCGTCGCCTATGGACAATTTTGGGTATGGTAGTTTTCTGCGATTTCGCGGGTGCGCGCAATTTTAACGCTCGACATGTTTGGTGTCTATTTACCCGACGTGACACTGTCTTTGATATGTTACCAAAAAACTGGGTAATAATAAATGTTTCCTAACAATGTAAAAAAATTCTGTAATTTTTCCTAATTATAGTAAAAAATAAAAGAAAGCTCTATCTGTCCCCAAAAAATGGTATACAATTAATTTCAGTACAGCATTGCATGATGGAATAAACGTCAGTCGAAGTACCGCAGCGCTGAATACTGAAAAATGACCTGGCCAGGAAGGGGGTCTAAACACCTGGTCTTGAAGTGGTTAAACTGTTAATTTTAACTCAAAGCATACGCACACAGTATTGTTCACAGTTCCAGCCAGCAGGTGGATCTCTAGGTTTATCCGACCTTTTTTAAAATTAGTTTTTAAATCTTGCTGTTTGCAAGATTGCTAAATTGCTCAAACATTGCACAAACAACAACATAATGACACGATGACGACACAGTCTTTTCATTTAGATTAAATTAGAGACAGTACATCAGCTTTACTTTCAAAGGCCCAGAAGTACTTTGTGATACCACTGGTGCACCCTGTATTACCTGTTTCATTTGTGATCTATACCTTAAAAATAAATCATTTAGTTTGCTAAAGAACCTATGTTTTTTTGCCCATAAAATGGAGGAATAAGAAAAACCTCACAAAACACTCTGGAATACACTCCCTACAGCTAGGTATTTGATGGGGCAGAAATTAAGCTTCACATATGCTATTTTTGTTAAAAGTGCTAGAGTTAAGTCCTGTTGCAGGCTGACAACACACATCATTTTTGTGGACTTGATTGGGTTAGCCCTGCCCAGCCCAACAGTCTTTTGATATACTACTGAAACCCACTCCCTATTCTCCATAGCATAAAGACTAATAGTTCTGTGGTCCAAGACAAGGACTGGGAGGACTGGTTGTTCCCAGGACAGTTCTGAATTTCTGACACAATCAGCGGGTATTGTTTTGAACTTATTGAACAGATACAACAAAGTTCTTTCAATGGCATATCGATCAGATTAGGGTAGCAAATAAGAGCATTTCATTTTTAGGGTTGACATACACTTTAAAAATAGGGAAGAAAATAAAAAACAGTGAGATCATGTCTCCTTACAGTGCACCTTCTTACATATTAAAGTTGAACTCCTGTCTTACCTTTAGGACCAGTCCACACATATAGCAGTGATCTGCATTTTACCACACTTGATTAACGCAGGTTACTGCTAGGACACATAGAAAACAAGTGTTTTCTGTGGCTTGTTCACACCACAATGAGGTGTGTTGTGGAACAATGCAAACATGCTGCCTTTTTTCACAGGGCAGTGGATGTCACCACCGGTCACAGCAGGGAAGCACTGTGCACCTCACTGCTGTGTGGTGACTAAATGGAGTGTAAACACTAAACACTTCACATAAAGGCTTGTTCACACCAAGCGCGGAGCAGATCCAGAGCAGAGCAGGTGCAGACCGGATCAAAACTGCGTCCAATGTATTCCTATAGTATTTTGAGCTCCAGTTCACATCGCAGCGTGCAGATCCAGAGCAGGTGAAAAAACTGCAGCAAGCCCTATTTTACCTGCTCTGGATCGCATCAAAAACGCATGCAAGTGCCTGAAAGCCCATGTTTTGTTAACCAAAACCGCCCCGGAACGCATCAAAAACGCGGCAAAAATGCGGCACAACCCACTGCACTGCGTGTGCAGAAACCTGACCGGATCTGCTCTGCATTTGGTGTGAACAAGGCCTAAAAGTTTAAAAAAAAAAATAAGTAAACTGTGACCCAACTCCGGCAGTGTGCGATACAAATTAATACTACCAGAGCTGCCACAATACCAGAGCTGCCACAAGGTACTATAGCCAGTCTGCTAAAATGCAGTCATTTAGCAGATAGACTAGTGTGAAAGGGCCCCTTATTCTTGCACAGTTGCAAAGGATCCTCTCCTGTACAGAAATTGCTTACTCTGATTTCACTGAACACTGAGGTTCTCGCAGTGTGAATTTAGAGTTCCAGCAAGTCAGATGGCACCCACATCATTTCCTGGCTGGAGGATGTGCAGCATTATTTCCTCCTTAGATTGCAGTTCTTTCAATCATGGAAGCTCAGCATTACACTTGGGCATCACCTATAGTTGTCTGCATGCAAGTGCACCATGCCTAAGAATGTGCCCACTGGTCCGAATGGACATCCACCCATGAAGGCATTTAATGTTTACTACTCCAAAGAGCCAGCCCACTGCTTACATCAGGGCTGAGGGCCCTCGAGAGGAGTCCCAAGTCAAGGTGCTGACATTTTCAGGAAGCCATGTACAGCCCCGTCCACCAACTGCCCACATGATTTGCCTACACTGGTATGTAATGAAAACCGAAAGGTTTTATTAAAAATGTCATTTGTATGTTGAGGGGGTAAATGAGGAACCAAGAAAAATAAGAGAATTAAAACTTCAGCTTTAAAATGTAATGAAGGGGAAAATAAATATATTTTCTACTTCATATACAAATGTTAAGCACTATAATTCAGGGTTATGTTTCAAATGGTAACATCAATAGAATGTCTTTTTCCTCCATGTTGTTAAATAAGTCCAGAGGATCCAGCAATACATATCAAGATAGAATGTTTTGTATGCAGTTTTGGAACAGTGCAAACAGGCTAATATTAGAAACAGGTAGCTACATATAGAGTGCTGTGTTTTTTTTCTTCTAGGAACACGCAGCCCTCTAAAAACCTTCCTTGGCAATCCCTGACATCCCAATTTACTGAATGGCTTCACAATACATGAATCATTATTAGAACACAGAAAGGACTCCTAGCAACTGAGCACTGAAGACAGATCTGAAAGGAAG